ACCCAACCATAAAATTATTTTCATTGCTACTTCATAACTGTAATATTGCTACTGTTATAAATCATAATGTAAATATCTGATATGCAGGATGGTCTTAGGCGACCCCTGTGAAAGGGTCGGTCGACCGCCAAAGGGGTTGCGACCCACAGGTTGAGAACTGCTGCTTTGAAGTGATGATTTTCTTTTTTTTTTTAAGTGGTGATTTATATATGTGAATTGTATCTCAATTTTTTTTTTAAAGAATAGAAACATCCCAGGAGCCCTTGCCCAGCTTCCCCACTGATAACATCATCTGTAATCACAGACCCCGGTCAGACCAGGAGGTTGACACTGGCATAATGTGCAGACCTCCATACACTCGTGTGTGTGTGTGTGTGTGTGTGTGTGTGTGTGTCTTTGCAGTTTGATCACGTGTAGATTTGCATAACTGCCACCATACTGAGGGAGAGAATGGCTCCATCACCACAGAGGAATTCCCATGCAACCCTTAGTCACATCTCCCCACACCTGTCCCTAACACCGGTGACCACCGATCTGTTCCCTGTACATTTTGTCATTTCAAGAATGCTAAGTAAATGGAAGCTTACTGTATGTAACCTTTTGAGACTGACTCACTCAGCATAATGCCCTTCACATCCATCCCAATTGTTGTGTATATCAGTAATTTGTTCCTGTTTGATTGCAATGCTTTATGAAATTGGGCTGACTTCCGAGGGCCGTCGGCATCTCCCTGCGGGCGGGTGCGTCGGCATTGGGTTAAGCTGGAAGAGAAAGCACCTTTGTCTTGGAGTTAGAAAGTGACCTCCTCAGGGAGGCCCTCCCTGACTGTGCATTCTAAAATAGTCCTTCCACTGGCCATTAATAATTCTCTCTTGTTTTCATCATCAAATGCATCCATGCTGTGTTTTTTTCTTGTGTTTTCACTTGTTTCCCTCCCCTACCAGCACAGAGCTGGGACCTGGTGGGCTGGACTCGGTCCCCCCGCCCCCCAAGTCCCCCTCAGCGCCTGCTGAGCTCAGTGCTGACACCTCCCCTGCCCTTCCCACTTCGGGGCACTCAGTCTGCTGCGACCGCCCGCACCGATGCTGCTCTGAAAGAGGATTTTTCTGGCCTCTAGGGCCCACGTTGCCTCACATGCAGCAGGTGCCAGCTGGTGGGGAAGAGCAAGCTTGAGAGAGCACCCCGCTACCCTGTCCTGTGGGGGAGTCCCTCTGGGCTTCTCCACACGGCTCCAGGCTCCAGGCTCCAGGCTCCAGGCTCCAGGCTCCAGGCTCCAGGTGGGCCGAGCTCCAGGGCCCACAGGAGTGGCTGGCTTGGTAACACACTATGGGCTGCCTCTCCCCTCTCTCTTCCCCATGCTCCACTCATCTCCTTCCGTCTGAATAAACGCCTTCCACTGGAAGCCTTGCCTCGGGGTCTGCTCCTGGGGAATCCAGACTAAGACAAACGGATTAATGGAGAAAAGCCCGGGACGAGTCCGCACTCCCCCGCTTGGCAGAGTGCACCGGGCACAGTGTGTGCCAGAGACTCGCCTCCCAGGCGTGAGAGAGCAGCGGCAGCACGAAGCGATGGGCCCTGCTTCTCCTGCTGCCGACCTCAGTCTCACCACCTGTGATGGGCGGGCGCAGCCGCTCTGCCTGTTGACAGGCACCCGGGGGTTGCCCAGCGCGCCCTGGGTCAGTCGCCAGCAGCCCCCGCCAGCCCTCCTCTCCGCTCTGTGAAAGGAAACATCAGAAGCTGGGCTGCTGACAGGGCTCGGAGTTCCCTCTGGATTCGCGTTCTCCAACTTTGAGCACTAGGTTCCCGCTTGGCGCTCCTGCTGTTCCTCCTGCTGACAGAAAGGGAGGGAAACAGTGGCAGCCCTCTCGCCGCGCCCGAGAGCCAGCCTCAGTCTCTGCCTTTTTCAAGCCGCCGCAGTGACCCAGTTTAGGCCCAGCTCAGCGAAGGGGTGAGACCACCCCCTGGATTTCTGACGTGCGGTCCTGAGCCCTCGCAGCCGCCAGGGCACTGGAAGTCCTTGCAAAGCTTGAGAAACTTGCCAGAACAAGTCAGAACCCCTTGAACTCATCTCTCCCCCTCAACAAAAGCAGCCTCCGCCCTCCTGAAAGGCACTGTTGTCACTGGAACAAGCCGCCTTTGTCCGTCCCTGCAGCTGGAGCGCGGCCTCCACCTCCTGGGGCCGGCGAAACCCAGTCAGCCAATCTCCTTCCCCGGCTCTGTCACTTAGCAGGCTCGGTCCTGGTGACAGGAGTCCGGGGCGATGCTCCTATCAATAAAAGGGACAACTTCAGCCAGTGTCAGGGATGTGGTGGTGGCTTATACACGCATGGGACTGGCTTACAGACGCATGGGACTGGCAACTGTTCAGCCCCTAAGCAGAGACCCTAAATTCAAATGCCTGAGGGAAGTGAAGCAGGTGTGAAACGGTAGGGAGTGGTGGGGACTGGGTCCGCAGAGAGCAACCGCCTACGCCTACGGGTGTCAGGCCCCCGTGCTGCCACCCCCGCTTTCAAGTCTGCAGAGAAGCAGGAATGCAGCCTGAGGAGCGGAATCCTCCCCATCATCAGCTGTTGGCAGCGAATGTGCCTTTTCTTTAGAACACTCATGAGCCAAATAAAATAGCTGTGTAGGCCAAATTCAGTTTACAGTATTTGTAAAGTTTCAATGAGAGGACTGATATTAGGAGGTAAATGTCACTTATCCATTTATTGATTCGTTCAACAAAGTTTTTTTGGCATTTATGATGTGCCAAGGAATTGTGCTGAATGTGAAGGGTTCTGTAGTGAATTTGAGGCGGCCACTTCCCTTAAAGAGCTCCCAGCTGAGTGGGGGGGGAGGGCCATGGACCTGAAGGCAGGTCATTGGGGGGCCCCCAGGGGAAGGCTAGCCTCGGGGCATTGCAGGGAGCCGCAGGCACCCCTGGAGGGAGAGCGATGCCTCGAGGGCGGGGGGCAGGGGGGCGAGAGCACATTTGAGCTGAAATTCCCAGCGTGAGGAGGACAGGAAGAGGCTGAGTGGTGTGGAGATGTCTGGGAGCAGCTGAGAGCTTGGTCTGGACAGAGAGCACGGGGCATTGGAAGAGACAGGAGAGGCCACTAGAGCTGAGAGAAGTCCCCTGATTTGACTTTTCCACCTGCACCGAAAGCACTCACCTCAGAATTTTGTTGGTGTGAAGGAGAATGACAGCGAGGCTCTCCTGCTCTCCGCCCCTTGGCCTTGTGTGTGGCCTAGGTCTGCTGACCATTGGCTGGCGGAAGGGGCACTCTGGGGTCCTGAGAGGGGCAGAAGGACTCCCGTGCTCAGTGCCACGGCCCCATCCCAACAAATGCCTGAGCCAGTTGATTTCTATTTTAAAATGTTTTTAATTTGACAAGGTTGTACAAGAGAAAATAAAACTCTGTTTGCGAGATTTATCAGATAAGGCAAGTAGTGGCTCTTATCCTGCCCTTCCCTCTAGAGCCCCGCCCTCAGTGCTTCCTCAAGGCCAAGCACAGCGAAGCCCTGCATTTTAAATTCAGTCTGATGGCCCAAGTGGCAGCTTTAAGCCAGGGTGAGGGTCAGTCCAGGTGGGGAGAGATTGGAGACATACCCCCACCGGGGGATTCTGTAGAGAAGGGAGACTGCGTAGAGTCTGATAAGAGGGGTGGAGGGGGGAAAGGGCTGGCCGGGCATCCACAGACAGCAACTGAAGTTCCAGAGAGATTTCTCAGCTGTGGGGTTTGCCACTGAGAACTCTGGGGTCTAATCCCCAAGCTGGGCCCCCAGCAGAGAGCACCAGAACTGAGAAGGGTACCCTCATAATATCTGGCTGTGAAAAGTAGTGAGGTTGCTGTCTGCCAGGGAGAGATGGCTGGAAATTCAGGCACCCTCTTAGAGGACCAACGCACAAAATTTCCTGTGGAGCCACTTATCTTGTGCTCCGGCAGAGGGAGGGCAGAGTGGACTGGAGCTGTGTGAGCAGAAGCCAGGATTGGGGGACTCTGGGGTAAGAGCTCAGAAGGCAGACACCCCAGTTTCCTGTGCTGAGTCATTCCCTCACGCTGTGTCATCTTTCTCATGCAGACATTTGCTATCCAGGCAGCTTTGCCTGGGGGGAGGACAGTTGACCCACCCTACTAGAAAACACCTTGTGCCACAGTGCAGAGTTTCCAAGGACCATTAAGAGAATAGCAGTTAGCCTCCAGGCAGAAGCAATTGCCCCACCCTGTGGGGAAAAAAAACAACCCTCTCACCACACCTGAGGATGATTGCTTGGGGCCACTCAAGTCAGGATCCTCCCAGTTTGTAGGCAGAAGCAGTCTCTAGGGGCTTTGAGTCTTTGCCTGATCTAATTAGTCAGAAACAGTATTTGACACTGTCCTGCACTAGAGATTGAGAGGCATAGTAGATCTACTTAATACACAGTCAACAGCCCAAACAGACAGCCACAATGAGGAGACAAAGAAACAGCCCCCAAGTGAGAGAACAAGAGAATTCTCCAAAAGAAGAGCTAAACGAAATGGAGATAAGAAATTTATCTGATATACAGTTCAGAAAAATGATGGTAAATATGCTCAACAGCCTGAGAAAAGATAGAGTAACTATGAAAACAGAAATAAAGAATGACATAGCACAAATAAATAACACATTAGAAGGAATACACAGCAGATTAGGGGAAGCTAAGGATCGAATCAATGAATTAGAAGACAGAGTTGAAAAAAATCACTCAATCAGAGAACCAAAGAGGAAAAACAAAAAAACAGGAGGACAGCTTAAGGGAGCTGTGGGACAACATGTAATGTAACAATATTAGAATAGTAGGTGTGCCAGAGAGGCAAAAAGGGAGATAGGGATTGAAAACGTGGTTGAAGAAATGGCAGAAAACTTCCCTAACCTGGTGAAAGAGAAGGGGCCTGGCTGCCCGCCCTCAGCCCTCTCTGGGGTTTTATTAGGGTGGAGTCGCTGCTGGTGCACCTGGGCAGACATGTACTGACTGCTCCCTGCTCTTGCTTGTGTTTCAGAGCAAGAAAGACTCCTCCTTGTGGACCTGCCCCTTCCACCCGCCGCTGCAGCTCTTTTTCGTTATCCGCAACACAAGAAGGCTGCATGCCTTTGGTCTGGCCAAGATCAAGGTTTGGAACTACTGGACAGCTGATGGCGTAAGTACCAGGCTCTGATGCCTCCCTGGGCATTAGGCTGATGGGAGCACCTAGTGCTACCGAATAGCCTGATTCCTGAAACTGCGAAATGGGTGCCAGGAGGCCCTGCTGGGGGTGGCAAGTGCCTGTGGGGGTGTCACAGCCACCCGGGGTAGAGTCTGCACTCAGAGGTCTGGAAGGGGTACTCAGGCCACCCTTTGGGAGAACTGGAAAAATACCAACTGAGGCTCAATTTTAACTGATAAGGAAACACACACAGAGAGCTTATGTAACATGGCCCAAGTCACACAGCCAGTAAGCTTCACAGTAAGTATTTGAACCCCTGAGGTCGGACTCCAGGCCCATTCGCTTAGCCAGCTCTTCTCACACTGTAATCCATGATGACTGCCGTGGGACTTGCTAGAAAGCAGGGTCTACCCCACAGGCCGAGGGTGCCCCGACCCGCGGGACAACAACGGGGGAACGAGGAGACACCCTAGGAGAATGAAACAAGCAAGGGACACGAAAGAATGGAGGCAAGACAAGTTCTGATCAAGCCTCAAACTTTATTCTCACAGCGGCAGGATATATACTGTTTTAGGAATGGGGGGTGGGCAAAGGGGTCTATGGGCAGTAACCTATTACTAGAGATTTATCAGGCTCCTGATGGCTATGCTTATCAGTGGAGATATGTGATTTAGCAGGCTCCGGATGGCTGTGTGAGGGTAGTTTATCTTTAACTGCTGGCCAATTTGCAAGACACAGGTGGTTTCTGGTAATTAGGAGTTTCTGGAGGAACCAGAAACTGATAGTTCTTAAGATGGCTTTGTCTAAGCCAATATCTCTAATGGCTCCCAACACGAGGGCAGTGCCCACCGCTGCGGCGTGTCCAACCAGCTCCCAGGTGCCAGTGCTCTTTGTGCGTGCACCCTGCTCTGTGCTTTGCTGCCCCTCTGGTTTCAGAACCCCTCCTCTCCTCTGCCCTCCCACCACCCCTACACCCAGGCCCTCACCTTTCTCTGCTGGACTGTGTTTCATGTATCCATTTGCATCCATCCCTTCATTTGACATTTACTACTGAGCATATAACTAGGGGCCATCAAGCTTTATGATCAATTGTGAGGACTCTGATGTCAGGCACAGTCATGCCCCGGAGAAACTCCGCATCTGACGGCTGGCAGACACATAAATGAGGAATAGTGCAGTGTGACAAAGACCTTGGTAACGGTGAGCCCAAGGTGTGAGGGTTTCAGACAGAAGCTGCTGGGACTCGGTGGGAGCTCAGTGGCTGAGGAAGGATGGGAACCCTCAGCCTGTTTTCTTCCCCCTCTTATGATAGAGATGGGGATGACAATTGTCCTACTTCCCTTTCCACTAGAAGGCAATTTACAGGACAAGTGAGATGCTAAATGGGACCCCACTCTGAACCCAGCCTCAATATTGTTAGAAGAATGCCATGGCATGGTGGGGAGTGTGGTAGACGGGCAAGCACAGGCCACTCGAAGAAATATATATATTTTTTATTGATTTCAGAGAGGAAGGGGGAGGGAGAGAGAGATAGAAACATCAATGATGAGAGAGAACCATTGATTGGCTGCCTCTCGTACGCTCCACACTCGGGATTGAGCCTAGAATCTGGGCATGTGCCCTAACCGGAAATCGACTGTGACCTCCTGGTTCATAGGTCAATGCTCAACTACTGAGCCACGCTGGCCGGACATACAGGCCACTTTTGACCTTCAACTAATGGTTGCCATGTAGGAGCGCCAGCCAGCGCTGCTGTGTCTTCTGAGCATTTCCAGGAAGCCGGGAATCAGATTTTGCTATGAGCCTTTCTGGTTTGTGAATGTCAGTAGCTAATTTAAATTCTTTTGAAACCACAATATAATTCAAACCTAACTCATCTTTGGGCTGGAGCTGGCCTGCCCCACACTGTCAACCCTGGGGCACGTTGCGGGGGGCCTGCCTCAGGCTGGGAGAGGTCAGGGAAGGTACCCGAGGGAGCACATGCCTGAGCTCTTCACTAACCTCCATGCTAGATACACCCAGGCCTCTCCCATCCTGCTCAGCTCCAAATGCCTGCCTCGGCTCGCATTCCTGAGAAACCCAGGTGGTCACTGTCTCCAGGCAGCCAGCCTGACCCTTGCACTACGCTGGACCTCACGACTATGCCCCCGCACCCTGTTCTAGGATCGATGCCTAGCTCCCCCACAGTACCGGGGGCCCCCTGGGAGCAGGGCCTGCAGCATCTCCCCACTGCTCTGGTCAAAGTAGACACACATGGTTGTCAGATGAATGAATGTGTTCATCCCCAGGAATGATAAGCAGTTGTCCTGCCCTTTTTGATATCCAGAGGAGAGAGAGACTGCGAGCTTGCTTAGAGGTCTGTGCCTCTGCCTCCTTCCTGTCCGCCCTCCTACTGCTTCCTGCTGAGACTCCCACCCAGCGGCCAGCCCCCTCGAAAACAAATATGTGCAAGGCTCTGTTCACCCATGATGCTGCTCAGAGAAGTAACAGCTTCCTCTGATTCCTGTCTTGGAGTTTTTAAAAACAAACACCTAAAGTTAAAATGTAAGGAAAGTCCAAACCACTGGAATAACTGAGGAAGCCGCAGTGAGAGTGTCAGCCTCCCCTGCCCCGCAGGCTGGCCGACCCCCCATCTCCCGCCCCCCGCCCAACCCCGCGTGCTTAGGGGCTCTTCCCAGACCCTGAATGCAGCCCCAGCACGGCATGGCCCCAGCGCACACCTAGCACCTAGGTCCGTGTCCTCTCACACCAAGTCCACTGGGTGCTTCCTGGCCGGTGGTCCTCAGCATCTTCTGGAATGGGCAATGAAACTGCTGGCTGCCCAGGCTCGCGCCCTGTTGCTCAGCCCTGTCGCTGAATATGTATCGCAGGCCCAGCAAAGCGGATTTTCTGTGCTGGATGACAGAGCAGATAAGCTTGGTCCCTTTGGGCAAGGCCTGCGCCTTTAACCTGCACTCAGCCCTCCCTGTGTGCTCAGCGTAAAGGAGAGGAGCAGGCATCGGAGTGGGTTCGGGTGCTTTGCAGAGCTGTGGGCTGGAGGAATGAGAGGTGCAGGCATCCCACGCACAGTGGAGTGTGGCAGGCGCAGTCCCTGGCAGAGGCGCCGCCACCTTGGGCACACCCACTCACCTGCTGCCAGAACAGACGGGGGCAGAGCGCGCACAGGAACGCAGCTGAGGTTGGCTTGAGGTCATATTCTCCGGAGCACACTGTTACTGTGTGTTTTAGGGGATGCAGAATGAGAGTTCATGGAAATACAGCTCAGCCTGGGAGACATAGCTTGTTAATACAGTGTTTTGTGTATGGAATCCAAGGAAGAAAAGTGAGAACCGAGAGCTAATCCAGCCACAGCTTATTTAGAATATAAAAAAGAAGGTGCTAGAGAATACACACTGCCCTATGCCCGCAGGCTAACTTTTATGGGCACCTTTCCCCTCTGCTGGCCCGTGGTTCAGTGAGAGAGAGCTGGCCCAGAGGACAGGGGCCTGCGGGGAGAGGAGGGTGGGAGGCTCGGATCCATGCCGGAAGGCAGCACACCGCTGTCCTTGCTGGCCACAGCTGCCTCTCCCAGGGCTGCGTGTGCAGACTGGCGCAAGGGGCGAGGCACGCAGTGAACATCTGATGCCTCAGCACCTCAGTGAACCCCAACAATTCTGCAAGGTCCGTGCTGTCAGGCCCCGCCATGTAGACGGAGATCTGGGGCTTGCTCAGTGAGGTCCCAGCAGGCAGAGACGGGGTCTCTTTTGCCCACTCTGCTTGGAAATGGCTGCCTGTCGTAAGGAAGATCTGGTTCATCAAGGACAAGGTGCATGAGTGATTCGTGATGTCTGCCTTGGTTCAGGAGGAGGATGTGAGACAGGCTTGTCACAGATTTTTATATTCCCCAGATTAAGTGACTTGCCCAGCTAGTGAGTGGCAAGCGGCAGAGCTTGGCAGGGAGCTGAGGTCTGTTGGGTTTTCTCTGGTTTTCTCAGCACTGTGTCCCCTGCAGAGTGACATCTGTCTCCCTTTGATAGTATGTGATAACCATCCAAAAAGGGGGCTTCCCGCAGCTCCCACCACCCATCCACTTGCCTTTGTAACAACCTACTCGTGACCTGCTACCAGCCTGCAGTAAGCAGGCACCTGTCACCATCTTCACCACGGCATCACCCTCGGATGCCCCTCTGCCTGGCCACACGGCGAGTGAGGCAGGACGGACACTCAGGGTGTATCTTATGCACAGAAATGTGCTCAGTAAGTAACTTAAGATGCATGAATGAAGGAATGCATGTTAATTTCCCTGGTGGTATATTTCTGTGACATGTAGTGGTGGTCTGGCTTGCGCTGCCCAGTAGAATTTTCTGCAATGATATGAGAACTTGAAATGGGGCTACTGAAAAACTGCATTTCATTTTCTTATTTATTTTAATTGAGATACAGTTAACACATAACATTATATTGGTTTTAGGTGTGTAGTGTAGTGATTTGATGTATGTATATATTGTAAAATGATTACCGTAAAAAGTTTAGTTAACATCCACCACCATATAGTTACAAAAGTGTTTTTTCTTGTGATGAGAACTTTTAAAATCTACTCTCTTAGCCACTTTCAAATATATGCTGCAGTATTATTAACTGTAGTGACCGTGTACTCATGCCTCCCCAGGACTCATGTATCTTGTAACTAGAGTTGGTACCTTTTGAGCACCTTCACCCATTTGTCCCCCCACCGCCCACGCCCTGCCTCTGGCAACCACCCATCTTTTTCCTGTATCAATGAGTGTGGTTTCTGTTGTGTTTGTCTTTCGGATCCCACATATAAGTGGGATCATGCGGTACCTGTCTTCTCTGGCTAACTTATTCCACTTAATCATGAAGCCATTAAGGCCTGTCCATGTTGTTGCAGATGGCAGGGTTTCCTCCTTCTCGTGGCTAAATAATTCCATGTTGTGTACATGTGCATGTGTACATATGTATGTATACACCTATATTTAGATAAACATAGACATGTT